AGCATCGCTCTACCCAGACCACTTCTCCCCCTTCCTCAAACAAGCCCTGAACAGAGGAGAGGAACCCGAGGCGAAGCAGGCATCTCCTCCTGCATTGAAGCTCGGCGAGGTCGACGGCAGCCACAGGGGCATCTTCGGGGACAGGGCCTCCCAGGAGGGTGGGGTAGAACAATCCTCCTCCTCGTCCTCCGTATCCGCCTTGTCCTCCCGCGCTGCCTCCACATCCGCACCCTCCTCCTTTTCTTCCTCCTCCTCCTCTTCCTCCTTTGTCCTCCTCCTTTGTCCTCCTCTTCGTCCTGGATGACCTCATCCTCCTCCTCCTCCTCCTCTTCTTCTTCTCTTCCGCCCCGCATTCCCCATCCTCATTATCCTCTTCTTCCTCCTTCGCATCGATCCCTTTCCTTATAGGCAACTCATGACAATCGCGCCCTCCGCCGTGTGGAGCAAGCGTTTCGCCCCAAACTTTCTTGCCACGTATGATCCTGAAGCTTGAATCTTGCACCAACTCAACGGATGGAGCAGGCGTGGTTTTGAAAATTGGGCTCTCCCCTGAGCGCCGCACAGAGTCATCGCATAAACTTGCAACCGGTACAAAGATGGAGAGGTCGTTTTCAAGATGGAGTTCTTTCCGTAGCGACTCACACATTCGTCCTAGCAGGTTGCAACAGCTACAAGGATGAAAGGGCCGTTTTCAGAATGGAGCTATCGCCTTGGCCCCGCACACATCCATCTTAACAGGTTGCGATAGCTACGAGGATTGGGGAACAATTGTTTTTTAACGGGCTTCCCGCCCTAGCGCCTCACACAGTTTCAAGGATGAAGGCGGTTCCCCTCAAAATCGAAATATCGCCCTCTTATTATTATTACTATTATTATTGTTATTATTATTATTATTATTACTATTATTATTACTATTATTATTATTCCTCCTCCTTCTGCTCCTCCTCTATATCTTCCTCTTCCTCCTCCTCCTCCTCCTCCTGCTCCTCCTCGTCCTCCTCCTCCTCTTCCTCCTCCTGGTCCTCCTCCTCCTCCTTCTCATCCTCCGCCTCCGACTCCTCTTCCTCCATTCCCTTGTCCATATAGATAACTCCTCCCTGTCGCACCCCGAAGCAGGTCAAAAGGACGGGCCGGGCGTTTCGCCTGAGACTTCCTCACAAATTAGGATCCTGAAGCTAGAAAATTGCAAAAGTTTCACGGATGGCGGGTGGCCTGCTTTCAAATGTGGCTCTCGCGCTTGCGCCTTGCACACTCGTCCGAAAATTCCGCAAGAGCATCACGGATGGAGGGCGGTCCGTGTTCAAAATGTGGCTCTCGCCTAGGCGCCGCGCACATTCGTCGTCAAAGTTTGCAATAATTTCACGGATGGAGGGGCGCTCCTCTTCAAAATAGCTCTCGCGCCGCGCACATTCGTCTAAAAATCGTGCAAGAACTTCACGGATGGAGGGCGCTTCCTTTTCAAAATGTTGCTCTCGCCTTGGCGCCACGTCCACTCGTCTTAAGAGTTTGCAGCAGCTTCGAGGATTCTCATGGTTAACGTCCCAACTATTGTGTTTTGTACGGTGCCGGAATGTCAGGGCGCAACAGTCACTTTGATTCGCGGTGTCGAAGGCCCTGGAGTAGCGTTCTGGCACAATTCAGGAGATCGGCAAGACGCAACAGTATCGGCGATTCGCGGCGATGAGATCCCAGAAATGGTGTCCTGGCACAATTTCATATTTTCGACCATCTGTCTTCCAACGGGGCATTTCCTTCAGTGAAAATGAATCCGTGGAGGAGCCTATAAAGAGGGAGCTTGAAGGCTTGGAGCGAAGGTTTATTGCAACATAGTTGATGAATATTGTGCTTGCACTGGTTCTCCTCCTCCTCCTGCTCCTCCTCCTCCTCATCATTTTTTTTCCCAAGCGCGATCGCTGCCTCGGAACGCCTGCGCTACGTCAGCACCACTCGCAGGTAAGAGGAACTCGCAGGAGCAAAGTGCACGCGGGGAACGCAGCGGAGGAGGGAGGAAGGGGAAGACAGCACAAATGGAGTCAACGCACAACGCCACACCGCGGCGTCTGCTGTGGATTACCCTACAGCATCTACGCCGGTCGGAAAAGTCGTACGCTTGAAATGATCCAATGTTGTCGCCCGGACAGCTTCGAGCTCTGTTTGAAACCCAGCTCAAGCTAAAAAAGAAGCGTCTCGATAGGAACCGCCTCAACTGGTGAAACCAGGCAGAAAAGAAGGGGGAAGACACTACGCCTAGCACGTCGGCGAGCAGTACGACCGAGAGCAGCACCACGAGAGTGGCGAGCTCGACCGAGACCAGCAGCACAGCCACGCCCAGCGCGTCGGCGAGCAGTACGACCGAGAGCAACACCGCGAGGGCGACGAGCACGACCCAGAGCAGTACACATGACAGCACCAGCTCTACGCGGACACCCGCGAGGGGGACCAGACACTCAGTAGGCAGCACCACCACCGGCACCAGGGGCAGCATTACAGAGAGCAGCATTCCTGCGTGGACAGCCGCGAGTGGGCCCAGCAGCACCACAGAGGGCACCACACCTGACAGCGGCCGCTCTACGCTGACATCGGCCGGTCGGGCAGGTCAGAGCGGCACCACGGGCGCTACCAGCCGGACGGCGACCAGCAGCACAGAGTGGAACAGCAGCTCCAGCGATACCAGCACCGTCGGCACGACCTGGACCAGCAGCGCCAGCCGGAGCAGAAGCATCAGCGTCACCAACACGACAGCCCCACCCGCCCCAGCAGCCGCAGCAGTCACCAGGGCGCCCGGGGAGGAGGAGGATGGCCAGCAACTACGACGAGTACCACCAGCACACGGCGATCCTGAAGAGCGACGGGTTTGTGCAGACGGTGTGATGCAATGTTCAGGTTTGCTTTGATTGCTCCTCCCTTCCCTCCTTCTCCGCCTCTCCGTGTAATTTTGTGCATGGGCAGCGTGTGTGGGCTTAGCTCACGGCCGCGTTTGGCCGACCCCACGGGCCACTTCGCGTCGCCCTCGGCTCGTCTTCTCGTCGCCGGATGTCGGCCCTCCGATGCTGCGGGGCACGGCTGTGCCTCATCACCGTAGTTATTTCATTTACAAACTTTGGCGAGTGCTTGCACCCAAACCTGCATCTCCCGCTTTTGCGGCTTGCCTGTCTTGCCTTTTTCCTCCTCCGTCCTCCTCCCTCTTCTTGGTGTCTTCTCGTCCTCCTCCTCATCATCATCATCCTTCTCCTCCTGCTCCTCCTCCTCCTCATCCTCCTCCTTCACTTCCTAGTCCTCCACCTCAGCCCCCTCGTCCTCTGCCTATGTCGAACCCTTCTGTCTTCTGGTTTTGCGCATTGCACTTGCCGAGCCTAGTCCCCAACGATTATTGACATTGGTCTTGGTGCTCCTCCTCCACCCCATCCTCTCATCATCAGCAGCATTATGATTGTCATCATAACCACCACCACGATCATGAACATCATCGTCCTCTGCTTCGCCTCACTTTCCTGTTCATCTCTCTCGTCCTCCTCCGCCTCCTCCTTCTCCTCCTCCTTCTCCTCCTCCTTCTCCTCTTCTTGCTCCTCCTCTTCCTCCTCCTCCGCCTCCTTCTCTCTTTTTCTCTATCATTCGGACTATCTCCCGCGCAGCACGCGTGCACACAGCAAGGGGGATGATGGGTTTGTGCAAACCCAACATACCCCTCGCTGCGCACTTCGCTGCGCACTAAAACGCAGTCAGGGACACCCACAAGCAATTGAGACCCACTTCCGCCTGCGCTGAAGACGCATGAGATCTGTTGGTTCAATAGCATATATATATATATATATGCACGTGTTGCGCATGACCCCGATGGGGGTTCTCAACTGCTGGTTGAGGCCCGTATTCTGCGGCGCCCCCTGCGAACGCGAGGCCTGAAAGCTGAGCCCGAGTGAGGCCTCGCTTTTCCGAGGATGATTCTCGAAGCCTGCTGGAGGTGGCGAACGCCTCCGTCTCCCAGCGGCTGGCAGAGGCGAGGAGCCAGCGTGTGAAGCTCCGCGCGAGTGGACCACGGCAGGCTCACGCAACGATGACGTGGGCGTTGGCTCCGTCACCGCGTGAAGCGACCAACCTCGAGCTATCGCGGCTTCCCGACGGCGCAGGAAGTCTGACGTCAACTGAGTTCGGGCCGCTGGCAGCGTTCAACCTGGAGCGCCCTCGCAGGGACCGCGGTCGCATCAACGCGGCGCGAATCTGCTGTAAGCGGGACGGACGCGGCCGCCCCAGCTGGAGAAAAAAACCTGACTGCACCAGCGCCGAGGCGCCTTTCAACAGGAGTAAGCTGTGACACAGCGGCAGGTGAACCAAACACGCCCTGCACTCATATTTACAGCTCGGCCGACAGGCACTGTTGGGGCTGCTGTACCCTTACCCGAGGCCGTCATCTTCTACGACACCCCCATCATCCGCTCCCTCCTGGCCCTCTCCCTCCTGACCAGGCGAGCTGTACACGCGCCCATTTGAACATGTGTTTCGAACAGCCGGGGCGTGAAGAGCGACGCGCCGTGCGAGGAACCAGATCAGCATCGCGGCGAGGACGGCGGGGGTCGACGGGAGCCCCACGGAGGAGGGCCACGGCAGAGCGAGGCAGCTGCTGGCTGGGTAGGATCGCCCGAAGAGACAGAGAGAGCCAGAGCGCCTCGCGGTCTTCGCATGGGGGGGCCAAGCGCTCCCAGGAGGATCAGCATGCACCGATCCTTGGTCAGGGCCAGCCCGGAGAGGATCTGTCGACGCGCGGAGAACAGGAGACGAGGAGGGGGAGGAGGAGGATCAGGAAGAGGAGGAAGAGGGGGAGGTGGAGGAGGGGGAGGAGGAGGAGGGAGAAGGAGGTGGAAGGGAGGAGGAGGAGGAGGTGTGACGGAGGAGGAGGAGGAGGAGGGAGGAGGAGGAGGAGGACGGAGGAGGAGGAGGAGGACGGACGAGGACGACGGAGGAGGACGGACGAGGACGGAGGAGGAGGACGAGGAGGGAGGAGGAGGAGGAGGAGGAGGAGGAGGAGGAGAAGGAGGAGGGAGGAGGTGGGAGCAGACGGGAAGGGCCAGAGGAGGTGCCGCCCGCAGGAGTGCTCATACTCAGACGCTGGGCTTTCCCGCGCTCGTTGGCCCTGCCGAAGCGGCGGCCTGGAGCGGCCAGGCCCTCCTTCGGCTGGGCACAGAGCGCAGAGGTGACCCTCGGCAGGGGTGACCTGTGTTGCGCGCCCGTGGTCAGAGCCCCGAGATCATCGGGGCTGGGGGCTGTCGGGGGCAACTGCAGGAGTTACCCCAGACCGGAGGTATCCCGGATAACTCGGGCGTCCAACCACTCCCGAATCATCGGGGCTGGGGGCGGTCAGGGGTAGCTGCTGGTTCGCGCGTTGGGGGCCCGAACTGGAGTTACCCTGGACCAGAGTCATCCTGGATAACGCGGCGTCCAATGTGGGGGGCCATATCCAAGCGCGCAGGCAATTGCTGGGGGGCCCTGGTGGGCCCACAGCCAAGGTCACTCTGGCGAAAGGTCACTCTCACGCGTGACCGGGTCCTCAGGGGCGGCCCGCCGCGTGGGCTGCGCGGCGGTCCAGGACGAAGGGCTGGAAGTCCGGGTTGCGCACGCGCCTCAAGCGGGGCCCCTCCCACCTTTTACGGAATGAACATCATCTTTCGGAGCGCCACTCGGATTCGTTGGATCGGCGCTGGCCCCCCCGCCCCTCCCTGACGCGCGGGGCGCGCCCGGGGCCTCAGAAGAGGCGCCGCCAGGGGGGGTCCAACGCAGATCGTAAAGATCCGCGCGGGTTGTCGAGAACAACTGCCGACCCTTCCCCCTGACGTGCACCCTTTCCCTTGCGCCTCGAGGGCAACCCCTTAACTGTGTCGCCGCGGTGGCGGTGACAGTGGGGCCTTATAGCCGTGGGCGGCGTGGAGGACGGCGCTGGGGTCTGGCAAGACGACGCCAGGACGAGGACAAATTCGGGTGAGGATAAATCGAGAATCTCCGAAATCCGGCGCTCTGGAGGATGCCTCGTGCGCCGCGGCCTTGTCAGAGCGTTCCAGAATTGGAGCGGATTTATCCTGGTCCTAGCCCCGTCCGATCTGGGCCCCAAGTCCACGACAAATTCGAAATACCTGCGCGCACCACAAGAATTCAATGTTTGTGCCAATTTAGTTCTGCGCCTCCGACCACCTGCTGATGTTCGCGTCCAGGCCCTGCAATGTGGCCACAGAAACGTCGAGCCCGCGCCCGCCGACCGGGCGGCCCGCGCAAGTCGGGCGCCCGTGCCACGCCCTCTGGAACTCGGTGGCCACATCGCTGGAGACGAAATTGAAGAAGGCGTGCCCCTTGTTCTTGCGAGAAGCGAAATCGCGGGGCATGTAGCAGAAATCCACTCTGCCGGCAAAGCCCGAGCGGTGGACCTCCTCCAGCAGCTCGTGCTGGCTCACCTCCTGGGGCAGGCTGCGCAGCATCAGGGAGGTCACACCCTGCTTGATCTGCCGCGCGGCCCTCCCCGTGCCCGCCGGCTGCGCGCGACGTGGGGCCGCTGCCGCAGCGCCCGCCGCGCCCACTGCCGCGCATGCCACCCGCGCTGCCGCCGTCGCTGACCCCTGCTGGGAGGCTGCAGCGCAGCCGGGGCCTTCCGCCGCGGGCGCCGCCTCTGAGCATCGTCTGAATAACCGATCCCTATCCCAAGCGACGTGGCCTTGACCCTTGGCTCAACCCCACTGGCCGACCTGCCCACCTCTAGGTCGGGATCCGCGTCATCCCATCGGGTCTCGCAGGGCGTAACCTTGGAAAGTCATGAGGACACCCCCCTGTGTCATCAGTAGCACCGCGTGGGAGACATGATCGACCCACGAACCCGGAAAGGAATATAGGAATGTAAGGCATGGCAACGTTTCAAAGACACCTGATTGGGCGACGGGCACATGCAATGCTGAATGTATCGATCTGGATGTGCTGTGCCGAAGGCTGTGCTGTGCTACGCCGTGCTGAACTGCGATGTGTCATGCCGCGACTGTGCTCTATATAGCGTTGTGGATCGAGTCCTCCCTGGCATCCGAGTCCTGACCGAACTGATCTGGATCTTAAGCCTGACTGAGCAGATGGTAGCTGCCCAAAACTAATCGACAGAGGGGACATGCCAGGAGGACGCGCCGCGGAACGTCCCAAGGGACGCGCCAAGCGACGTGCCAGGGGGCGTGCCATGGGCACGCGCCGCGGGACGTGCCAAGGGGACGCGCTACGCAACGTGCCAGTGGACGTGCACCGCGCGACGTGCCAGGCGGACTCGCCACAGGACGCTCCGCGGAACGTGCCAGGCAACACGCCAGGCCGCAATGCTAAGGGTATCGATATTGATGTACCGTGCCGAAGGCTGTGCTGTGCCTGGGCCTGGGCGACCTGGACACGTGAAAACACGCGTTTCGCTTAAAACGTTCTCAGCACATCCTCATGCTAGACATCCGCCTGGGCAACCTGGACACGTGCAAACAAGCGCCTCGATCGAGACTTCCTCGACACATCCTCATGCTAGACATCCGCCTTGGCGACCTGGACACGTGCAAACAAGCCTCTGGTTCGAGACATCCTCAACAAATCCTCATGTTAGACATCTGTCTGGGCAACCTGGAGGCGTGAAACCAGGCGTCCTGCTCGAGACATCCTCAAGAGCTGGGCACGTGAAAACAAGCATTTCACTTGAGAGATGCTTTGAATTCAGGTCCCCAGGAGAGGACAATCTGCAAAACGAAACAAGCGCTTCGCTCGAGACATCCTCAACACATTATGAGAAACAGGCGTTTCGCTCGAGACAACCTCAAAATTCTAATTCGACGGCTCTACGCGACCTCGTTATTTATCGCAAAAGAATTTCGCCGTCAGAACCGGGGGTAGCCACACGAAAAGAGAACCCTGGGCCTAAGCCCTTTCCGGGGAAAAACGAATCCACTGGGGGGGGGGCTGCCGAACGATAAACTTTAGTACCGCGGCCAAACAGCAAAACATGATCGACCCACGAACCAGGAAAGGAATATAGAAATGATAAGCATGGAAACGTTTCACGACACCCACTTGGCCGACGGGCAACTGCAATGCTCAAGGTAACGATGATGATGATGTACCGTGCCACGGGCTGTGCTGTGCCGTGCTGTGCTGAGTTGAAATGTGTCATGCCGCGTGGAGCTGTGCCGCGCGCTATTGCATTGTGGATCAAGTCGTCCCTGACGTCGGAACCCTGACCGAACTGATTTGGATATTAAGCTCGAACTGCCTGAATTCATAGCTCGGGCTCAGCAGCTCTTCAAAAGAAGATGGATACACCGAGGAGAAGGAGCTTAAGATCCAAATCAGTTTGGTCATGAATATGGTGGCGGTGATGATGCGGAGAAATCAACCAAGTCGAGCTCAATATCCGAATCAGTTCCGAGGGGGAATCAAGCCGCAAAGTATTTTTGAACAAATCGGCGCAACGAGGTCACGAACACTGCGAGAGCAATGCCAGCGATAGCGCGGCGGCTCAAGGAGCACTCCGGCTCCCGCCGGGCAGGGCGGGGGGAGACGAGGGCTGACCCTGGGGGTGCAATGCCCAACGTACAGAAATAGCAATGAACGAGGAGGCGCAAGAAAGACGAGCGACCCTGAGGGTGCAACGCTGAGCAGGGATGGAGCTAGGCATGGGCAGACCCCGAGGGTGCAGAGCCCAACGGGAAGGGAGAAAAGAAGGAGGTGGAAGTCGAAGATGACAACAAATATGGCTCAGCGGGTGCATGGGCTGACCCTGAGGGCGCAATGCCGGCGCAACGAAATCACGAACACTGCGAGAGCAATGCCAGCGATAGCGCGGCGGCTCAAGGAGCACTCCGGCTCCCGCCGGGCAGGGCGGGGGGAGACGAGGGCTGGCCCTGGGGGTGCAATGCCCAACGCACAGAAATAGCAATGAACGAGGAGGCGCAAGAAAGATGAGCGACCTTCAGGGTGCAACGCAGAGCAAGGATGGATCCAGGCATGGGCGGACCCCGAGGGTGCAGAGCCCGACGGAGAGGAGGAGAAGAAGGAGGTGGAGATCAAAGATGCGGCAATCAGAAAGTGTGGCACACGCAGCCTCCTCGTAGGCGACGCTACTGAGGGCCGTCCTCCACAGCCCACTCGGTATCCTCGCCCGTGGGGGTGATGGGCGCTGGCTCGAGGCCGTCGATCGCCAGCAGACGGTTCATGCTGTACCACTTGTTGATGATCACGCGCTCGTTGTTGCCCTTCAGCGGCAGCTCAGGAGCCCCAGCGTCGTTGTAGTAGACCTTGATCTCGCGGATCTGCTCGCGGGTCATCTCTCCGTAGCCCCACTCCTCCATGGCCGCCTTCTTGAGCATCATGATGCTCACGAAGAGGCGATCCTGCGTCGGCCCCTCACGGTTCGGCAGCTCGATGGCCTTCCACTGATGCAGGTCGTGCAGGCACACGTGCGCCGTAATGATGGGCACGTTCGCCGCGGCCCACGGGTCCTCGACCCGCGGCGGTGGCACGGGCGCCGGCGCTTCCTTCCTGACGTGGATCCACGCGTAGAGCTCCAAGACCACGTCGTCGCCCAGAGGATCGCCGCGGGGCTCTTGCCCGTGCGCCTCACTCACCAGGACGTTCGTGTTGTAGTACTCCGACATCTCGGTCGTGATGGCCCGCTTGATCGCCGCCACCTTGACACCGAGACGCCCTGGGCGCGCGGGATTTGTCGAGATGTGGCACGTCACCGGCGCCCACGTGTCGAGCTCCGCGAAGTAGGCGAAGATCCTGCCCATCATGGCTTGGAAGCCCACGATGCGAGGGCGCTGGTCGTCATCCTCCACCTCCTCCAAGTCGTTCGGCAGGTCGACCAAGATCACGGCCCTCTCCAATTGGCTTGGGCCTGCCATGGTGCGGCTGGTGGTGCCGCCGCGGGTGCCAGGTGCCGGAGGGTGCGCAGGCCACTGCCTGCAGCGAGTCGAGTCGGGCTGAGCGAGCGGACTGACAGACTGAGCCA